CTTCTATTCCTGCTTTCTGGAGAGTTTTAATCATAAATGGATGTTGAATTTTGTCAAAGGCTTTTTCTGCATCTATTGAGATAATCATATGGTTTTTATCTTTCAATTTGTTACTGTGGTGTATTACATTGATTGAACAACCCTGATTTTGATGGTGCCCTTGAGTACTAATGATTTTTTAAAAAATTTATTTATTTTTTGCTGTGCTTTGTTTGGGTCTTTGTTGCTCTGCATGGGCCTTCTCTGTGGAGAGTGGAGGATACTCTCTAGTTGCTGTGTGTGGACTTCTTATTGTGGCGGCTTCTCTTGTCGGAGAGCACAGGCTCTAGGCACATGGCTTCAGTAGCTGTGGCTTGCAGGCTCTAGAGCACAGGGTTAGAAATTAAGTGGTGCGTGGGCTTAGTTGCCCCATGGCATGTGGGATCTTCCCAGACCAGAGATTAAACTGGTGTCCACTGCGTTGCAAGGCAGAGTCTTAACCACTGGACCATCAGGGAAGCCCAGCACTAGTGATTTTTGAGCCTTGAGGTCATCAGGCTCCAAGAATCTTTGAAGCCATATTCCTTTTCCTCTAATTACTTTATCTCCTATTCCTTCTTCCCAAGCCTACTTGTTATCAGACTTTTATCACCTAAAGCTATTTATCATTTCCTTGTACCTACCAGAGTTCCTGGCACATAACAGATGTTCAATAAATACTCTTTGCATTAATGGCCCTACATGCTCTTTCCCTCATTAAACTTTACCAAATATGCTGCCAAAACAGGGTCTGCTTTTCTCTTCTTGCTCATTGTTCATATTGCCTTTTGAACATTTGCACTGTTGGTCACATTTTGTGCAATTCTTTTTTTGTACACTGTTACGCCTGTTGTCTGTTATGTGTGTAGCGTTTCCTAGTTCTAAGTCTACACTCCCCAAATGAATACTTTTTCTTGTGTCCTCCCTCACTCAGTTGTGTCTGACTCTTTGTGACCCCCATGGACTGTAGCCCGCCAAGCTCCTCTGTCTGCCATGTAATTCTCCAGGCAAGAATACTGGAGTGGGCTGCCATTTCCTTCTCCAGGGGACCTTCCCAACCCAGAGATTGAACCCGAGTCTCCTGCATTATGGGCAGATTTTTAAGACTGAGTTGCCAGGGAAGCCCTGTTATCCCCACCCTCAAGCAATCGCCAACCTAGTGCTCCTGACAATACGGAGCAAATACTTAATGCCTCAAATCTGTGGAGGCTGGTGATGGATGTTAAGCAAGAAACTACTCATCCATCTTAATTCAGCACTTACACTGCTTATTCTTCAATTGCCCATCATCACTTGATTCAAGAGCTGTGATTATTCATTCACGGAGCATTCACTGAGCTTACACTATGAGCAAGTCACAGTGCTAGGTGCTCTGAGGGATATACAAAAATGGATAAGACACCTCCTCTGACTTCTATTGCAATTACTGGTGTATGATTCATTCAGCAATTAATCAGGTACTGCCTTTGTGATGCCTCTTAGACTATTTGGAAAGTGTTCCTTAAGTGCTTCTATGCTATTTGACTTTTCACTTATGTATGTCTTCAGTAAATAGTTATTGAATGTCTATGATGTGACAAGCACTGTCCCAACAGCTGGGACAGATATAAACAAATGATAGTGGATGCCATCAAAAAGGGTCAGAATGCAGTATAGAAGAGGACATGAGACTATGGTAATTATGACATACATTATTTTATGACATAAATGCAGCTGGAATCCTGAAGAAGGGATACTTAACTTCCTGAGGGCATCATGCAAGCTTTCACTGAAGAGGTCATTCATTTAGGCCAGGAAAATGAGTAAATAAAGGCTGTCCATTCGTTTCCATTCTAGGCAAAGGGAACACTGAAGAATCTAAAAAAGAGTGAATGAATGTGTATATACAACCGATTCACTTCGCTGTACAGCAAAAACTAATATAACATTGTAAATCAACTATACTGCAATAAAAATTAAAAAAACAAGAGCAAAGGTACAGAGGTATAAAAGAATCTGGTGTATTTGGGAAATATAGGGATGTAGTCAGAGCAGACACCAGGACCTTCCCGGTGGCTCAGATGGTAAAGCGCCTGTCTACAATTCGGGAGACCTGGGTTCGATCCCTGGGTCGGGAAGATTCCCTGGAGAAGGAAATGGCGACCCACTCCAGTACTCTTGCCTAGAAAATCCCATGGACAGAGGAGCCTGCTGCAGGCTCCTCTGTCCATGGGCTCCCAAAGAGTGACTTCACTTTCACTTTTGGCCTGAGCAGAGATCAGTGGGAGGTAAAACTGAGGAGATAAACTGGGAACTGATTCTGCAGTTGCATGCTAATAGGATTATCCTTTAGGAAGGAATTTTTTTTCTAATTACACAGATAGCACATACCCATTGTACAAAACACTCAAGTATTGGCAGTCATGTACACTGTTAATGGTTTGAGTCATAATCTTTCACATTATTTTCTGTGGTTAGACTAATATCATTCAAAATGGAATTAGTCTATACTTGCAAATTTTTTCACTTACAATTGTCTCTTGGCTATCATTCCATGCCAGTGTATACAAGTCTACTTCATTTCTTAAAATGATTGTATGGATGGCGGTCCATTAGTAGTAAGAAATAATGATTCTGGGGCTTTCTTGGTGGTTCAATGGCTAAGACTCCACACTCCCAATGCAGGGGGCCCAGGTTCGATCCCTGGTGGGGGAACTAAATCCCACGTGCCACAACTAAGTGTTCATATGCTGCAAATAAAAAAACCAAGTGCCGCAATGAAGACCGAATACAGCCAAATAAATAAATAAAAATAAATATTAAAAACAAAAGACTGATTCTGAAGTCAGATGCTTGGATCAAGTCCTTCAGTAACTACTTAACCCCTCTGTACTTCTGTTACCATTTCTGTAAAATGAACAAACAGTGCCCGTTGCCTAAGGATCGGAGTCAATACATGTGAAGTGCTCAGAATAGTGCCTGGCAGATGAAACATTAGCTGTGATTTCTTGATTTATGTAAACAATATACAAGGAGTATTTTAAGCAAGCCAGTGATATAGTCAGGTTTCTTTATGGAAGAATCCCTCTGGTACCTGTTGGGGAGGATAAATAGGTAAGGAAGACCGGTAAAAAGGATCCTGTTAGGAGGTTGTTGCAATACATGGTGAATGAGGTGTAGACAACTGGCTGTTACTAGGAGGGGAGAGGAAAAATTAATTCTTTAGATATTTCTAAGATAACAAATGCTAGAACTTGTTGACTGCTGATGGCTGATAGAGACAACTCGATTCCAGGGTCCAGATGTTTGGCTTAGAAGACTGTGCAGTTGTATATTCAGGTATATATTTGACAAATAACTTTCGAGTTTCCACAATGGGCCTGACACCGTTCTAGTACATGTCAGTGAACAGGATCTCTGCTTAGGAGAGAAGCTTAGATTCTAAGAGGTGTTTCTATCTGTGGACGGGCGATTTAACAAATAAACTAACAAGAATTTTAAAAAGATTGAACAGATGTTCAAAAAATATTCAGGGATTTTATGACACTCATCCAACCCGGCACCAGTTTAGCAATCTCCCTTAATGACGATAATGGAGCTGGTGATTCATTCTCGGCGGGAGCCGAGAGCCTGTGTGCGTTATTCGATCTGATCCCCGCAAGCGAGAGGGGGCAGGTCAGACTATTACCCCACTTCACAGCCGAGGAAAATGAGGCCAGGAACAGTTGTGCGTTTTGACCCAGGTCGCACAACTAGAACAGAGGCGGCTTCGGCCCTGCGCTGAGGGCCAGGCAGCCGCGAGGGGCGCGAGGCTGGGGCCAGTATGCGTGCCGCCAACCTTGGGAGCCGGCGGGCGGACCGGCCGGACCCTCGGGCGGCCTTCAGCAGCCACGGACTCGCGCCTCCCGGGCGGGGCGGCCGGCGGCGGTTGCGGCCCCGCGTCGCGAGGCACTTCCGGCGTGTGCCGGGGTGGCCGGATGACGTGGCTGAGTCAGAGGAAGAGGCAGGGAGGCGCGGGGGGCGGGGGAGGCTCCGGAGCGGGCGGTGACGGCGGCGGCGCGGAGGAGCCAGCGGCTGGGCCCGGGCCCCGTGCGTCTGTCCGCGCCCCGTGGATGCGAATCGGCCGCGGCGGAGGCGGCGGCGGAGGAGGAGTCGGTGGGCCGACGCCGGGCCGGTGGGAGCGCGGAGGATGAGGCCGCTGCCGGGCGTTCCCGGCGTGGCGGCGGCCGCCGCGCTGTTGCTGCTGCTGCTGCCCCGGGCCCGGGCGGACGAGCACGAGCACACGGTGAAGGCATTTCCGTGTGCTACCGGGACAGGACTCCACTCTCGAGTGCCTGGGCCTCCTTTCCCCAACCCGGACCTAAATGGCGCCGAACCTCTGGGTCCCGGAGTCCCGGGAGCCGGGAAAGAAGTGGAGTCTGAGGGTCGGGGCTCACTTGGCCGCGGCAGTGGGGGCCGCAGTCTCGAGGCTGGTGTCCCCCAGGGAAGGGAGCTGCGCCCGTGCTGCTGGGGGGCTACGACTCGGCGGAAGATGGATGCACCACGTATTACTCGTCATACCCTAATCAGGAAATATCCACCACTTAATGGTGCTCACCGGCCTTGGTTTCTCCCTCCTGCCCAAACCGGAATCTAACCCTGGCGTGGGGACAACCTTGATAAACTTGAGGTGACGAGCACTTTACACGTGTACAGGCGCTCAGCCCCCGGCATCCGTCTTGGAGGCCTTGTAACTTTCTCCTTACCTCCTCTGGCCTCGAGATGAGGCTCGCGTCCCAGTGGTCTCTAGGGCAGCTTCTGATTGTGCAGGGTCTTGCTGGGAACAGTCGGTTTTGCATTTAGCCTAAAATCGATCGACTGTTCGTTTAATTGGCATTTTCAACATTAAAGCTTGGATATTAACGACTCCTCTTGTGACTTTCACTTAGGAATGTAATTCTGTGGCTTTCGGAATGGTAGGTGTGAGGCAGGGCGGTAAAGTCATGTAAATTAGAGGGTGAGTGTGAGTAGTTTGTGTTTTTAGACCTTAACTCATTAATGATATGACTTTGCGTGAGAGGTTGTGTAGTACTAAATCTGAAAGTCTTCTGTCATTTCTGACAAGTGAGGAAATGAAGCGACCAGAGAAGTCTGCAGGTTAGCTGTGCTCTTCATTTAGTTAACACGAGTTCTAAACTTTAAGGGACAGCAACTTCAGACACAGCAACTTCTTATCTGTATATTTTTAAAGTCTGGACCCGGGGACGTTTTTGTACTGTATTTGTGACTTTTCACCTTAAGATGGTTTTATTCGCAGGTTAAATAGTTTAAAAACTTGTCTCAAAGAGTAAGAAGTGTTCATTTCCAATGGGCATTCTTTTGGCCAACGAGTACTAATATTTTAACAGTTTTTTTTTTGAGCACTTTGGAAAAGTTAGCATATAAAACTCGGAATTGTCTCTTTAGTTCCACCGTACAGGCATATTAAGTATTTTACTTTTATATAATGAAAGTGAAAGTCGCTCAGTCGTGTCCGACTCTCTGCGACCCTGTGGAAATTATACGGTCCATGAAATTCTCCAGAACGGAATACTGGAGTGGGTAGCCTTTCCCTTCTCCAGGGGATCTTCCCAACCCAAGGATCGAACCCAGGTCTCCCGCATTGCAGGTGGATTCTTTACCAGCTGAGCCATAAAGGAAGCCCTAGATTACTGGAATGGGTGGCCTATCCTCCATTGGATCTTCCCGTCCCAGGAATGAAACTGGGGTCTCCTGCATTGCAGGGAGATTCTTTACCAACTGATCTATCAGGGAAACCCCCTTTTATATTGTGTTTTATGTAAACTGCTGTAATAGGGAAAAGAACATATTAAAATGCTACAAATTGGAGGTGAATAAAAAGATTAATATACAAATTTTAAATGTAAATGCCAATTTAACTGAAATTTTATGGCAGGAACGTTTAATATTTTAAAACCAGAAATTGAATGTAAAATACTTGATAAAAGGTTTTTGAGAGAAAACGTCATGTATGAGAAAATTGTTGGACAAAAAAATTTTGACTCTTTTATTTCAGTCATGTTTACATTGAACTGCTCTCACTTGTTAATACCTATTTTAAAATTTTAGGCATTTAAAAATTATAGGGAAAATAGCATGAAGATATATGTAAAAAATTTAAGTGTCATTATATATTTGGTTATTAGCCAAGATATTTTATTTCTTAAAAGTTTCTTGAAAATATTTTTGAAAACTAGGCATTCACCTCAAACTGATAAGGGTATGGTCAAGTGATTTTTTTTTTTCCACCAAGAAGGCAGAAGTAGCTAATGAAGACAGAATGATACTGAAGGGAGAGAAAAATTGTCAAGGGAAGTTTACTGAGTAAGTGTTTAATAAATACTTATGAAATTGGATTGTTAACCAAAGAACCATCTAAAAGTTAAAGTTTGCCCTTTAGATTAACTTTCTGTGAAGACAGTTTCCAGATAGAAATAATAGCTAAGCTTTTGTAGCAATATGTGGTAGGCACTGTCCTAAGTACTTAATATGTATTAACTTGTATTTTAAACGTGTGTTGATAATCTTGTGAAATGAATGGGATTATGTCCTCTGCATAGATGAGAAAACGGGATGATGAAGAAGTTACTTGCATGAGGCTACACAGCTAGTACAGGTAGAGGTAGGATTTGAACTCAGGCGAGCTGAATTAATAGTCTCCTACACACTCACAGGATATGCGCTACAGCCTTTTATCCTTAAAAAATAGGAGAGTAAAACAGTTGGTTTCCAGTTGAGTTATTTTCGGTATTGAAAATACTTCTAAGTGGTTAAAAGAAAAGTTTGGGTAAGCCTGGTTTCATAGGGAATTGTTACTGAGGTTGTGTTTGGTTTAGTGTTAAAGAGGGACGGAAATGGGCATGTGACCCCTGCAGCCACTTGGTGTGTGCAAGACAGAAAGACTGCTTAGCTGAAGGCTGTGCTGTCACCATTTGAAATTCTTAGTACTTGTTTAGAAAGGAGTCTTGCATGTTTATTTTGTGCTGGGCCCCACAAATTATGTAACTGATCCTAAGACAGAGCAACCAACTACTTAATGCAGTTCCTCAAAGCCCTTGATTTTCTCTTACTTTACCTACTGGATTAGGATTCAGCTGACCGTTTGAGTCATACGGTATTTTTTTATGTGCTTATTTGTCCAATGCTCTTAATATTGTCAGGAGAATAATGGTAAGGAAACATGCTGCTGGCTTCTAGAATATATACACAGGCAGAATATATAAAATGAGTTCCTTTCAGTTTTTAAATTACAGAACACACTCTTAAATAAAAATTAAAGAATACTTTCGTGAAAGACAGGTTCTTAATAAATGATTGAAGAGTCATAAAAAGAACACTTAGGAGTGAAAGGTGTATAGGGTATGGCTCATGCTTATTTGGATTTCTGAAAGTTGGAGCTCTCGGAAACAACTGGAGTTAGATTATCATGTCTCCTAAGATTCCTGAGGACTCATTTGAAAAATTGCAAATTGAGAATAGAATTTTAGAACTGGAAAGACTTAGGACCATTGAATTCAAGACTCATTTTCCTAATGACTTGAAGAGGCGCAGTGGCTAGCCCAGGGCCACAGGAAGAGTCAGAGCTACAAGATTTCTAGTCCTTGTTTTTTCCACCTGTCTTGTACATATAATTTCCATACTAATACTATGTAAAAATATCAGCATCAAAAAATCAACAATCAGTGGCACAGGAATCTTAAAAGCATTTTATCATTTACACTGAAGCCTTGACTTATTTTGGGCTTTGTTTCCTCAAGGTCACAAAATAAAATTTTTTTCTGGGTCTGTCATATACCAGGCTCTGTGCTTAGCACAAGTGGTATTTAATCAGTGCTTGTTGAGTGACTTGAGTATTTGGGGAGCTGCCAGGGGTAAGAATATGCAAGGTTGGAAGTTTGATAACCCTGTTGCTTAACGAAGACCATTGTTCATTTAAGATGCATGGTGTTGGGGATGCCTGTTGTGTTTTAGGGGCCCTACCTAGGTTACCATTTCTTTGTAGCCCATTGTACCTCGTATAGGTAATGTTGGAAGGACCCGCTCTGTGCTTAGGATAGCCTATTCTCCAAATCTGCCATAAGCACTATTACACCACTGGGTTAAAAAAAAAGATGATTGCTTAGATAAATGGAAGCCTTTAGTCTTTATCTCTGTTGGGAGTATGGAACTCTTAAAACATATGTGAAGATTTATAAAGAGGATAAACTGTTTACTACAAGTGAATTTGTGAGTGTTTTAATATAGATCTAGTTTTAGGAAGTGCCAGAATTCATTGTCCTATTTTCAGCTGTACTCTATGGAAGATTAAAAGTTTATTTAGGAATAGGGTTATTTTGAGAGAGAGCAGTTATCTCAAGAGGTTATCCAAAAATACACTAATAATTTGTATTTGCATTCTGAAGTATGTTTTTAAATAATTAAAAGGCATTGAAACTGTGATTTTTGAAACATTTCAGAACTGGATTTTGCTTTCTCAGATATGTATTTTTAAAGTAAGCATATATCTTTTCCCTCATCTCATAAAAGTAATGGCATTTGGGAACTTATTCTGAGTCTTCAGTTCTTTGCCTGTCTACATAAATTCTGATTTCTTTATTTGGATTTTGTATGAGGTCATCAGTAACATTATCTCCTGAAGTGCTCCTCCTGAGAAAAGGTAATTCACCATGTCTATCGAGGAGGGAAACTTCTGTACCTGCACTGTCCCAGCATATAAACTGTATTTAAATGAGAGACCCAACATTGGTGACTTCTTGAGAACAAAGGTCATTACTTTTGAGATTAGAGCACAAGGAGCTTCTTAGGAAGGTTTTTTATTTTTTTTACTGTTGGGCAGATTAAAGGCTCATGGAAAAGTTGTTCAGTGTTTAGCACTTCCTTAGGTACTTTGTACAACTGTACTTTCCCCAAATTCCTTTATTTAGTTTTTGCTCTTCAGTTAACAAAGCTGATTAGGGATTAGCAAAAGTGTAGTCCTAAATTTATAAATGCAATGCAAATTAGAATGATCTTGGACAAATTGTGTAACGTCTCTTTTTAGTTTTTTTGAATCTGTAAAATGGGGAAAATCATAGGAGCTGAGACATTAAGTGTTTATATATATATAAAGACCTTAGAACTGCACCCAGAACATGGTATGTCCTTAATAAGAAGCCTTATGGAAGGAACCACCCCCGTGTCCAGGGATCCTCTGATCCACTGCTATGCTTGCTTTACTTTTTCTCTCCCCCTCTTCTGATTATACCCTGCAGGTAGGAAAGTATTTATAAAGAGCTTGCTAAGACATGGGATGTTTTGAAAGCAGATTAGGCTAGCCTTTTGGCTGTACCACTGGTGTCTCAGATGGTAAAGAATCTGCCTGCAGTGCTGGAGACCCGGGTTTGATCCATGGGTTGGGAAGATCCCCTGCAGAAGGGAAAGGCAACCCACTCCAGTATTCTTGCCTGGAGAATTTAATGGACAGGGGAGCCTGGCGGGCTACAGTCCATGGGGTCGCAAAGAGTTGGACATGACTAAGCGATTCACACTTGTGACCTCCACAGGTGGAGGGGAGAGTCTTACCAGTCCTGTCTTCCCACCCAGTTGGGGAGCCCAGGGACTTTTCTAGCAGCTTAGCAGAAGGAAAGGTTTTTCTTCTTCAAATGTTTCTTCCTTTTGGTATTTTCTTATTTCAAGATCTTGTAAGACACATTTTTCTCTCTCTAAAAAGAACTCTCCCTTTGGAAATACTTATTCTCAGGGATAATAAAAAACTATAATGAAAAGTAAGCATTTTAAATTCTTGAAATTTGTGGTCTGTATAAGGAGCAATGTAAAAGAACCATTTTTAACCTTAATATTCATCCTAATCTGTGTGTGTGTGTCTATGCGTGTTTATGTCTATATAACATATATATATATGTATTTTTCCCCCATTCACTGCTTCAGTCCTCTTCCCAGAAGGAATCCTATGCTAAAGAGTTGTACACATTTGCATCATGTCATCAGAACTCTACTGCTGCATTAAGGTTTCATGAATGTTGAAAATGAGTGACTTCAGAATGTGTAGTTAACACACACTATGACCCTTAAATTATTTTAGTCTTATGTTTCAATGTGTATGAAATAAATGAATGCTCTATTTTAACAAGTGTTAGTGTTTTTGTCTATTTTTAAAGGAATTTGAGCATTAGGATTTATAGAGAAGGTGTTCTGTTTATTTTCACAAGTTGTTACGTTTATAAAATTTCTGCAGACTCTCAGCAGGATTAATGACAAGAATAGTTCCTCTCTTTCAGGGTTATAATCCTGAATGGATACATGTGATTACCTCTCCTTCTTTCAAAGGATACTATTGCATTCGGTGCACATACCTGAAACTTCTAAGTTGCTAACGACCTTTCATTTCAGCCTTTCTTCAGTGTTTTTTCATCATATTTATTAAATATTTTTTGTGTACATGATACTATGCAAAAAGCTTCTACTCTGTGAACAGGTTTCAATTCTGTTTTAATACCAGCTCTGTTCAGTGGATAGTGATGGGTTTAGAGAACTGTTCTGAGATTTGTTATGCTGTATCTGTATCTGTGCAGAAAGGAATACCTTGATTGATTAGTGCAGTGCGCCTTAAACATTGGACAGAAGGGTGATGTCATTTGTATTTTGTCAAGCCCCTAAAGTAACAAGAGTAGTTATGAATGGGGATCTGTGGGTACATTAAGACCTTTGATTGGTTTCTTCGTACATAAAGATTATCTACAGTTTTTCTGGATTCACTTGAAACAGCTTGTGATTTTCCATATTGTTATTCATCCCAATCCTTCTGTGCCAAAGCAAAAATAATCATTCTTTTACTGTTGCTACAATAACTCTTTTTACCTTAATTGTAACACTTACTTCTTCACTGTTAATCATTTACTTTTCTGGCTCCACTTTGGACTGTGAACTACTTAATAGGACAAGATTTACCTTTATAGCCTTAACACCTAGTACTGTTCTTAGTACATGTGTCATGTATTCAAAAAGTCAGGTAGTTTTTTATTTCCTTGACGAGGTACCTGAATGATGTCTTAGGGCAGTGAGACATCATGCTTGAAGGTGATTAGATCTAAGTCCTAATTTGATGGTGGTATGAATCAAAAGAGGCAGATGCCTTATATAAGAATAGACAAGTCAATGGTTTTTGGAGTGCAGAGGGACTTGGAGATTGAGTCTCCGTGTCTGAGAGGATAATACTATTAGAAAAAGTTTTGAGGGGTTGCGTTTGGGTGGGATGAGTTTGTTTTGGAGATGTTGGATTTTGGTGGAAAATGTTTATTCATTTTAGATGGAGGAAAAGTGAAGTGAAAGTCCCTCAGTTGTGTCCGACTCTTTGTGACCCCATGGACTGTTTATGTATAGTCCATGGAATTCTTCAGGCCAGAATACTGGAGTGGGTAGCCTTTCCCTTCTCCAGGGAATCTTCCCAACCCAGGGATTAAACCCAGGTCTCCCGCATTGCGGGCAGATTCTTCACCAGCTGAGCCTGTGACAAGGGAAGCCCAAGAATATTAGAGTGGGTAGTCTATCCCTTCTCCAGTGGATCTTCCTGACCCAGGAATCGAACTGGGGTCTCCTGCATTGCAGGAGGATTCTTTACCAACTGAGCTATGAGGGAAGCCATTAGATGGAGGACTGGGAGTAATGTTTGGTATTTTGGCTGGTTGGATAGGTTTCTCTTTTATATGCTCCATAAGCACACTGCCTGATTATAATTGCTCATTCAGTGTCCATCTTTTTGTTTAGGCTCTAAGCTCTAGTAGGGCAGGAAATGTGTCTTGTTCAAAGCTGTCTCAGTTGTGAACACAATTATTGGCACATGGTAGGTACTCAGTAAATAGTTGTTTGGTGATATAAGTTCTGCACTGTTAGTTGACAACCTGCGTCTTATGTTGTCTTTCATTTGTGTTGCTAATTAGGATTCTTAGTTTTAAAATCACTCAGGTAACCACTCTTCATAGAATCATTGGAATTTTAAACTTGAGGAGATCTTAGAAATCTTTGGCAGTTCCCCAGTTGGACCCTGGAAAGGTGAAGTCACCCAAAGTCATTGGACCACAGCACAAGTTTAGTTACATAAAGTATTCACTGATGGGTAAAGCCATAATTGTTTATTCAAAGAAATTTGCATGCAGTAGCTGTGTTTCAGGCTGATAAAGGGAAAGATAGAATGATGACTTGGATGAGTTGTGGAGGTTGCATAGTATGGCTTTCTCTTCCTCTTCTTTGGTCATTTCCTCCTTTTGACCAATGATTGTGGGGGGGAAGAAAGAGTGAAATTTTATTTGTGCTTGCTGACAACATTAGATTTTTGGAGTTTCCAGTGATTAACATTAGGTTCTGGATAAACTACTGATTTTGTTTCCTCCTCCTTTGTCCACGTTAGCATGGTGAATCATGTCGGTTCTGGGTTTATCATTATTTGATTGTGTAAATGTTAAGTATAAACATTTTCTTACAGGTTATTGGAGTTTATTTAAACTGTATCTTCTATAAAACAAAGTCTGGAAAACATGAATCTGCCTGAGACCGTAATCAGAATACATCATTTTAAAATTCACCAAATTTCATTTTTAATGTGTAGAAACTGATCATCGTTTTGAAACAAGCTTCCAGCATTTTATTTTAAAGCTTCCAAAACTGAGATAGTACATTTTTGTTTAGAATAAATAGCAAAATATGCCCTTAACTTGAATTAGATTAAAAAAAAAAATGTATTCTTACTTGCTTTTTTGGTTTGTTTCAGTATCAGGATAAAGAGGAAGTTGTCTTATGGATGAATACTGTTGGGCCCTACCATAATCGCCAAGAGACATATAAGTACTTTTCACTTCCATTCTGTGTGGGGTCAAAAAAAAGTATCAGTCATTACCATGAAACTCTGGGAGAAGCACTTCAAGGAGTTGAATTGGAATTTAGCGGTCTGGATATTAAATTCAAAGGTACGTAAACCTTAATAGTCCTTGTGATAAAAGTTAGACTGTAGATGAGGGTTTCTCAACATTGGCATTATTGATGTTGGGTCCAGATGATTCTTTGCCAGGGGGTGGGGGTGGGCTGTCTTGTACATGGTGGGACACTGAGCAGAGCTCCTGGCCTCTACCCTCTAGATGCCAGTGGCACTTCCCAGTTGGGACAGTCGAAACATTTTTAAACATCGGTAATCATCCTTGTTTGAGATCCACTGCTCCAGACTCTAAAAGATGTTTTTATCTTTAAGTTAGGTATATTATATTTAGAAAAGTATATTAGTAACTAACAAAGATTTGTTTTGAATATTTATAAAACATTCATGGATCTTGTTAATAAAATTACATTTCCTTAGCATATTTATTTCTGAAAGGTGTTTTCTAATAAATCTTTTAGTGGTTGGACATGATGTGTTTGGGGAAAGCCTTCATTGATTCCTAATGGAGTCATTTCCAGAGGTACAGAGATGTAATGGGCTGAATGGATGCTTAAAAATTATGTGTAAAGTCTCAAATTCAAATTTGTACTATTGGCTCAGTGTATTTATCAGTGTTGTATTGCTTTATCCTCTCAACACCTGTTTAGTGTGGTTTAAAATTTTAAGTCAAAGACTTGTTAAAATTGGGGGTGGGGGTGGAAATCCCCTGTAGCTATTTATTATTTGTTTTATCAGTGCCCAAGAGTGTGTTTATACATTTTATTTTTCACTGTGAAGTTTGTCCCAGCAGGTATTTCCTGCATGGACATTTTTACCTGGTGGGCAGACACCTGAGTAATTGCATTTTTGCAGGATCTTTGATTAGGTGTCTTGATGTCTGAATAGAGCATGGATCTTGTAATCAGAAGCTTTGAATTTTAATCCTGTTTCTTTTACTCTATTGATTTTAGTAAAGTTGTTTACTCCAATTTTAACTTTATTGTCTACATGTATGAAATGAATAGTAATGGCCCTCTGATATTTTTAGCCTTTTGGGAAGAGAGTGTGAAATGAGATATTTTAAAGATAATATTTTGAATGTAATGTTTAATTTTGATTTGTTAAATTTTGTTGTTTTTAGGATGTTTCTCCCTATTGTTGAAAATAGGTATATGCATTTACATTTTTTTGTATATTATTCCTTGGGGTTTAATTATAAAATTAAGTTATAAATTTAAACCACAGTGGCATGGCCTGTAACTTTATGAATTATTATAACATGCCCTAAGGCTTGCTTTAATTTAATGAGGTAATTTATTTAATCAGAAATAAGGAGGAAACTTAGACTATGTGGTCTTTGAGAGCCTCAGTACTACATTTATTCACATACTCTCTCCTCTTCCATATTTGATACTCATGTCTAATTTATTAAAAAGGAACCAGAGAAAGAATAGGCAAAAACCCTGAGTCCTTAGTTGCTACTATGAACAGATTTCATACCTTTTTGAAATCTTCACTTTTACTTACTAGAGAAGAGTTACTCATTCAGCTGTCTTAACGATTCTTATTTTATTAGTTTCTTGAAGCTGAGATGGAAAGATTATTTTTTAGATAGAGAGGGATGGTTTTCATGGGTTGTAGAAGTGGAATTTATTTTCCTTTCAGACTAAATACTTTTAGATGAAAAGAGTCAGAACTGGCTGATGTTACTCCCTAAGAGTTGGCAGTTCCTTGGAGTTCTGTCAACCCTGCACTCCAGCACGAATATGCTGCTAAAGGAACTGCCATGTTACGTGGTCCAGATGCAATAGAAAATGCTAATAAGATTTCTCTTTCAGTTGTAGATCCTTGCTCTCTCTGTTCAGAGATAAAGTTGATCATGCTTTGAAAAATGTTTTTTGGGGTTTCTTGGTTCTTGTATCATAGAACTTTAAAGGTGGGATGGACCTTACAGATTGTGTCATCTGATTTCCTCTCAGGGAGGCCCAGAGATGAAACGAAGGCATACTGCAGCATGCTAATGCTTGTGGAAACTTGAGCCCTCTGTCCCTGTGTGAACTGTAGAAGTATTTATATTGTTAATCTTTCATCCCTTAAGTATTTGATTTTTAAAGGTTCTTCTGAAGGCATATTCAAGTAAGACAATACGATTTTGGAAATACTGTGACACTAGGAAAAACTATCTATATACAGATACAGATACACACTTAGGCGTGCATTCACACAAACATAAAGTTTTTTTTTTACCCTAGCAGATTCTGTCAGGCTAAATGGATTGGTGGTGTTTCGTAAAATGAAGGTCATTAAATAGATGGTGGTGCAATGGTAAAGAACCTGTCTGCTAGTGTAGGAGACAGAGGAGACTCGGGTTTGATCCCTGGGTCAGGAAGATGGCCTGGAGTAGGAAATGGGAACTCTCTCCTGTCTTCTTGCCTGGAGAATCCCATGGACGGAGGAGCCTGGAGGGCTGCAGTACATGGGGTTGTCAAGAGTCAGACATGACTCAGCATTCTTAGAGGAGAGGGTGGTAGTTTTGAGTCTGATGTAGGACACCCCTCTCTCAAGGTTTTATGGACAACTTTGTTTTTTCCTTGCTTAATAGTTTTTATGCTACCACTTAGCAAAATGCTGCATTGAGAACATTTAGAGAAAGTTAGAAAGAAAGGGGCATACTCAAGGTGGGTATCTTTGAGCAAGACTTGAAATCATTACCCTGTAATTTTCAAGGGTACCTCTCTCTTGGAGTCTTGTTTTTATGGAGTGGAAAGAACATGTGCTTTAGAGTCAGAGAGACTTGATGCATCTCAGCTCTGCCTCTGCCTATCTATATGGTTCTGGACAAATTATTCAGCCTCTTTAATCTTACTTTCCTCATCTGTGAAATGAGGGAAATAATATTCACTTGATAGAATCATCAGATTTAAATGAGATAATGCATATACATCATTTATCAAAGTTCCTAAAAGTTTACATTCAGGAAAAGGTCATTGTTGTGAATACTAATAGCACATAGTGTGTGTCTGTACTTCAGACTTGATTTTGTATTAGCAATTACGAAATGTTATTTGACTAAATTATAAAATTCAATTATAAAATGATAATTGAGTTTATTGACCATAGTATAGGATTTGACTTATCCTCAAGCTGCTGCACTAGCCTGCTGGGTGGTTTAGTTACTTCCACAGGGGCAAGGACAATTGAATTCTTATTCACTGTTGCATCCTTAGCTATTAAGTTATAGTGAGCTCTAATAAATTGTCTGGCACCTAGTTTGTGCGTACTTTTCTTTATGATAACTTGTTCATTAATGATCTTTAGATCTGGAATAGTTATTTTTGTTTGTTTGTTTGAAGTTTTTATTTTGTATTAGGGTATAAACAATTAACAGTGTTGTGGTAGTTTCAGGTGAACAGCAAAGGGACTCAGCCATACGTATACATGTATCTCTTCTCTCCCAAACACCCCTCCCATCCAGGCTGGCACATAACATTGAGCAAGAGTTCCATGTGCTATACAGTGGGTCTTTATGAGTCATCCGTTTTAAATACAGCAGTGTGTACATGACCTTCCCGAGGTCCTTAACTATTGCTTCCCCTGGCAACCATAAGTTTGTTTTCTAAGTGTGTGAGTCTCTTTCTGTTTAGTAGGTAAGTTCATTTGTGTCGTTTCTTTTTAGATTCCACATATGAGGGATGTCATTTGATATTTCTTTGTCTGGCTTACTTCACTCAGTAAGATGTAAGATGGACTCTCTAGGTCTGTCCATGTTGCTGCAAATGGCATCATTCCATTCTTTCTAAAGGCTGTGTGATATTCTATTGTAGCTATGTCCCACATCTTCTTTTTCCATTCCCTGGTCAGTGGACATTTAGGTTGCTTCCATGTCTTGGCTATTGTAAACAGTGCTGCAGTGAACATCGGGGTGCATGTATCCTTTTGGATCATGTTTTTCTATGGTTATATGCCCAGGAGTGGGATTGCAGGGTCATGTGGTAGCTCTGTTTTTAGTTTTTTAAGGAACCTTCATACTACGCTCCATAGTGGCTCTGCTAACTTACGTTCCCACCAATAGTGCAGGAGAGTTCTCTTCTCTCCGCATCCTCTCCAGCATTTGTTGTTTGTGGATTTTTTTGGTGATAGCCATTCTGACTGGTGTGAGCTGATATCTCATTATAGTCTTGATTTGCATTTCTCTAATAACTAGCAGTGCTGAACTAGAATAGTAATTCTTAAGCAGGGGAGGTAACCAACCACTCCATTCCCTCTTATAAGAATTCTTGCAGTATAATGAACAATTAATATAAATATATATAATATATATATAATATATAAATATATATGTAATTGTTGAAAAGTTGATGGATTCCTTCCTCCTGTTTATTTTATTGGTCTTCCCTTGAATTTTCTCTTCCTTGAATATTCCAAGTTAACAGAGGGGTTAACTTATCTTACTGGTATTTCTTCTACTTCTCTAGAGTGAAATGGTGAGTACTGCAGATATGGAGATATACCAGGGGCTGTTTAAGACTCTTGTATATTTCTAACTCAGTGATTCTCAATCTTGTCTATTTTCATCCTTGAAATAAACTTACAGAGGTGTATTATACCTATTTTTCAGATGAGGAAGTTGGGGCCCAGAGATGAAGTAAACTTGTTTAAGGATTCATAGGTGAAAAGTGGGGGAGTGAGAATGTGAACTGAACAGTCCAGGGTTAGAGTTTGAGCTTTAACCAATTTGAGTTTTAACCACTCTGCAGTATTTCCCTCCAGATATCTGATAAAGCCTGATTGCCAAAGGGTGGGGAAAGGGCTTGGGAGGCTGCAGGTCCTTTCAGCCTGAATGAAGATTTTTGTTTTTGATAACCCCACCCCGTCTCCAGTCCCTGGATTCTCCTGTTCCTGCTCTTCTGAGGCTGGAGCTTCTCTGCTGAAGTTCTCTAGGGCAAGTGCCTTTGGTCAACTGCAGGGGCAAGTTAAGGGTATTCATCTGGTTGTGTGATGGGTGGAGGAGGGGACCTGGGCATCCAAGTCCTCCATTAACGTAGTTTCATACAG